TCCTAAACCCATGGCTTCTTTCCCAAACTGACATGGGGCTCTGGGAGCCGGCTGTGTGGAGGCCGCGCAGGCCCGGGATGTGGCCGCGGCTGCCTTACTGCAGAGGGCGTGCTGGGGAAGGGCTGCCTGCAGGTCCTGTTTGCTCTGGCTGCAGCCCAGAGGAGAGCGGGCGGGCAGGAGGAAGGGAGAGTTTTTAAGTGCAGGGCTGTACAGGGATGTCCCTCTGCGGCCCGTGCTGGGGAGGCCTGTGTGGACAGACTCTCAAAGGAGGCTGGGCCGTGTGGTGGCCGAGGGCCTCCTGGGCACGTGGTTCTGATTCTGAAGAAAAGAGAAGGTCTAGTCCTGGGAGCAAGGGCCCCACGGTCCAGGAGGAGGGAAAGCGAGATGGTTCCCTGTCCTGACAGGTGGCCGGGGGTCCTTGGTTTCGGGGGAGGGAGGGTGCAGCAGCAGAGTGGGACACTGACTGAGATGCCATCGGCTGGTGGCTTTTTCTGGCTAAAATGTCGTGCAGTCATGAGGAAAACATCAGGCACATCCCGACTGAGGGGCCTTCTGCAGACACCTGTTCGCTTCTCCTCGAGATGTGGGAGGCAGAGCCAGTCTCTTTCTCTCAAAGGCCCGGGGCGGGGGGGGCCATGGAAAGTGAATGGGAGATGGGGGGCTGGGGCGGGGCAGTGTGGTGAAGTGGGGAGCACGGCGCTGTCAGAAGAGGCCGCCGTGGTCTGGTTCCCGTGTGGGTGCTCAGAATGGTCAGATCATCTGAATCTTTTTTTTTCAAGAGCAAAATCTGCATTGTTAGGTGAAATCTCATTTTGAAATGGCAGCAGCTAATTGAAAAACTGCCAAGCCACTCTGCAAGCCGCGAAACAAGCCAGGTCTCTGGGGTAAGGCCAATTGGCCTTTAAAAAAATTGTGGTAAAATACACATAACGTAATATTGATCATTTTAACCATTTGTAAGTGTATAATCCAGTGGCTTTAAATACATTCACAGTGTTGTGTAACCATCACCACTATCTATTTTTAGAATTTTTTACATTTTCTGGAACAGAAGCTCTGTCCCCATTAAACAATAACTCCCCACTCCCCACTCCCCTGAGCCCCTGGTAACCTGTATTCTTTCTGTCTCTATGAATTTTCCTCCTCTGTGTCCCTCATATAAGTGGGGTCATACAAGATTTGTCCTTTTGTGTCTGGCTTATTTCACTTAGCATAACCTTTTCAAGTCCGTCTGTGTGGCAGCATAGATCAAAACTTGCTTCCCTGTTAAGGCTGAATAATATTGCATTTTATGTATAGACCGCCTTTCATTTATCTGTTCATCCGTTGATGGACACTTGGGTTGTTTCCACCCGATGGACCTCTGCTTTCTTTGAGGAAGCATTCTCCTGCCCCAGCAGCCACTTAGATTGTGACTAGTACTTGTTGCAGGAATTTTAATTCTGATTGTGTCAACAGATGGCTGAGCACTGGGGTGTGGAGTGAGGAAGAGTGGCCTCTGAGAATGTCCTAGAGAAGGGGGGAGGCAGTGAGAGAGGTGGCGGTGGGGGAGCTCAGGGTGTTACGGGAGCCTAGGGCGGACAAACTTAGTCTAAAACAGGAGACCGCAGCTGAGTCGTGGAGGACAAGCCTCCTGGAATGCCTGCCCGCCGCCCTTCGTTAACTTGGCGGAGAAGCTGCACGGGCGCAGGAGTCTGAAACTGCATCATGTTGGCGGGATAAGGAAGGCAGGCTCTAAAGTCAGGCTGCCTGGGCTCAGACCTGGCTTCCTGACCTGCTAGCTGTGTACCCTCAGATGGCGTCTGCAGGCACAGGGGAAGCAGGGAAGGGTTTGAGATGTGCATGAACCTTTGTGGTGGATGTGACCCTAGAAATATCCCCCCTCTGTAGGGCCTTTCTCCAGCCTCCCAGGAAGTGGTTCATCTTATCTCTGCTTAATAACCTTGAGCTTCTCTCCTCGAAAGCTTCTCCTTCATTGTTGGCCTGTGCCAGTCATTGCTTAAGGACTGTGGTTTAATAACTATATCCACTGCCTGCCTTTGGACAACCCCCCTTCCTTTCCTGGGCCTCAGTTTCTCCATCTGCTGATGTTGGGCTGGCCCGTTTCTAAGGGTACTTACTCTCAAGGACCTGTGCACTAGAATTCTGTGGCTGTGGGTGGCTGGAGTTTTGTTTATGATGTACGCCCACCAGCGATGGAGAAAAGGGTAAAATTTGGGAGGAAGAGCTCCCTCCCATTTCTCTTGGGTCCCTAGACCAGAAGAGACTGTGTGAGAACCGTGCTCATGGTGACACTCTTTTCATCAGCCCACCATTTTGTATTCTCTGTGCTTCATCTCCCACTTGTTGGCAGGAGTCAAGGAAGAGGGCTGAGGGTGGAAGCCTTATGGACCCAGCTTAACACTCCTGATCATTTTTCCAGGTACTTCTCCCCATTTTCCCCCAATTATGAGACTTCAGAAAGTGGTTCTTTCTTTTCAAAGAGAGTGAAGCTCATACAGGGTAACGATCCAAATGAAGAGAACCATGGTACCGTTGGTGGCAGAGCTCAATTCAGCCAATGAGAGCCGAGGAGGGTCCCCCACCCAGACAGCAGCACATTATTGTCCATTTCCTTGATTAATTTATTACTTGATCTTCTGACTTAGGGCTCACGTTGCAGTTAGTGAATGAGAATGCACTTTTTTTTGTTTGTTTTGCCTGATTCTTTTTTTTTTCTGCTGGGAAAGATTCACCCTGAGCTAACTTCTGTTGCCAATCTTTCTCTCTTTATTTTCCTTTTTTCCTCCCCAAAGCCCCAGTACATAGTTGTATCTTCTAGTCGTGGGTCCTTCTAGTTCTTCTATGTGGGCTGCGGCCACAGCATGGCAACTGACAGACAAGTGATGTGGTTCTGCACCCGGGAACCGAACCCAGGCCAGTGAGGCAGAGTGCACCGAACTTTAACCACTAGGCCATCAGGACTGGCTCAAGAATGCACTTTTTTTTTTTTTTTTCTTTTCCCGCTGGGAAAGATTAGCCCTGAGCTAACATCTGTGCCAGTCTTCCTCTATTTTGTACATGGGGCTCCTCTATCTTGTACGTGGGGCTCCGCCACAGCGTGGCTGACGAATGGTGGAGGTCTGCGCCTGGGATCCGAACCTGTGAACCCAGGCCACTGAAGTGGAACGCACCAGACTCAACCACTACACCACCAGGCTGGCCCTGAGAGTGCACTTCTTAATGAGGACCCTCACCTGGCTTGTACCACCACCTGAGAGGGGAAACACGTGTCTCAGTGGGGTGACCTCTGACCTGTCTTTGACAAAGAAATGAGGATTTTCTCTGACTGGTTCTGTCCAGGGCTTTGCACCCTGAAAGTACCCTGTCTTGATGACTGAACTTCAAATTCCTTGATGCCCATCCATCTCTCTTTTCTTGCTTCCTTCTGAGCAGTGGCTGATGTTAGCTTCTGGCTTTTTCTTGGCCCCATCAGTAGCCTTTGGAGCTGCTGACGCTTTTGAATGCTCAGACCTGAGATGTTTATTAGGCCCCTGCCGTGTGTTGGGTGTCGGGGAGACGGTGATGAATATAACTCGGGGCCTCCCACAGGGAGCTCACACCACAGTGAGAGCCGGTGCACTGATCACCTTTTCCTCTTCCCTTTCGACATAAGCCCGCGTCTCCCTTAGTCATTTCGGGCCTGGCACGGAAGAAGAGGATTGTAAGGCCGAGACTTGCAGACTGACTTGTTACAGGGGGCTCGCTCTGGCTCATTGCTCATTTGTTGTTAAGATCATCTAGATTGCATCAGGTTTGGAAGCAATCACAAGACTTTTATTAATTATTATTTTGGGAAATATGTTCTATACTAGGAAGTTCAAATAATACGTGGAAACCAGATTTCTGTAGGTGAAACTTAAGAGCCAAGATGAAATCTAACCTACCATAGAAGATGCCAGTAGTTGTGCTTAAAAAAGCGAGGGCAGCTCTTTGGCCAAATGTTGATCATGCTGCATACTCTAACCCACGTTGGAGAGTTATGCCGCATGTGAGGAGATTAAAGGCTCTGAGAAGTCCTGCAGTAAAGAGACCCATTTGACTTTGACTCAGCATTTTCCAAATGCTTATTAGCTTGTAGAATTTGTTTCCCTTTCTCATAAACCCGTTTAACATTCTTCAGAGCCAGTGTTCCACAAAACACCCTGGAAACACTTGTGGAAATGATTTGTTTCAGCCGAAAACTGCCCAATGGCCAATGTAGGTGGACAGCAAAAGAAAGCTATTATTTGCAAATGCAGCGTTTTGCTTGGCCCAACTTGTTGGCCGCGAACTGGGGAATAGTGCTCTGCTCCAGGGAAGGAGACTTTGCTGTCGAGCACAACCTCTCGTCGCTTGTTGTAATGGGCCGTGTGAGATCCAGGCTGCCTGCTCACCAAAAGGTGGAGGGTGGGTTCCTGTGTTTCTCCCCTCTCAAGTGACCCACAAGCCAGGACATCGTTTAAGCCTCTTAGGACAGAATATGTAAGCCACCTGTGTTCTCAGACAGTCAACAAGGCATGTCTGGGACAACCAGTGATCCGTAATGGGGCTCCTGTGACAGTCTTGGCGTGTGCAGGACATTTTAGAAATAGTCTTTGGTTGAGCAAAGCACATGATAGAGTATAATGAATAACAATACTGCTTTTTTTTTTTTTAAAGAAAGAAAGCTATACAGACATTCGGATATAGAGAAAAAAGATAATGATGGTGGGATGATGGGCAATTTCTATTTTTTTTTTCCTAATTTTCTATTGTTGCCCAGTTTCCATTGTCAACCTGCATTCCCTTTGCAAAAAGAAATATACATATATATAAATAAAAATACATATATGTCCAGATATACATATGTAACACAAACACACGTACACACCTTACTGAAATGATATAATACAGAAACCAAGATAAGTTGGTGAGTTTTTGTCTTCCATCTTTGGTTTCTAATAGTTCCTTCAAAGTCTGTAATTTTTTAATTTTTCCAGATGGGCAGCAAATTTGGGAGATGGAGGCCACGGTGGATAAAGACAAGAGCCAGCCCGTAAGCACCTGTCCAGGATGACCGGACGCCCTGTCGTGTTTCCCGCCCACCTCCTTCGTGCTCTCTGTCCTCCTCCTTCCCTTCCTTCATAGAGTCCCAGTGCTTTGGGCCTAATGGGCTCTCAGTAGGTAATGAGTTGATGAATGAATTAAACATTTATTGAGCACCAGGCCCACTGATTTGTAACTGTGACATCTTAAATAGAGTAAGTGGCAATTCTTTCTTTGCTGCAGCTGGAAAGTCAAGTGGCCCTTAAATAGAATTTTGCCTGTAAACATATGGAGCGTGCCTTTTAGATGGGCTGGCTCAACGTGCCTAGGGCCTCGATAGGAGTTTAGACGTGGTCGCTGTTAACGACAACTCCTTCCTTCCAGAACATGCTTTTTGTTGAGATTCCCGAGTATCGGAACAAGCACATCCGCACGTCGGTGAAGGTGAACTTCTACGTCATCAATGGGAAAAGGAAACGGAGCCAGCCTCAGCACTTTACCTACCACCCAGGTGAGGAGTTCTCCCTGCAGGCCCCCGTGCTGTGGAGAGGCAGCGAGTGAGGACACATGAGGTCTGCTGCCAGCTGGGCGACCCTGGGCAGGTGACTCAACCTCTCTGAGCCTCAGTTTCCTCATTTGTCAAATGGCACCTTCTTGGCACCTTCCCTGTAAGAGTTACAGAAGTCACATGCTTAGCACAGTGTGCGGTAAGCTGATGTTAGCATCAGCTATTAATATTTTCCTCTGGGAGGGTGGAATTGGAGAGGCGCATGTAGACTTGTTCAACAGAAGGTTGCAAAGCTGATGCCTCCTGTCCCTGTTTTAGATTTGATCGTGATAGGGGTAGAAGGTGGATATACCCTGCTGACCCCACGCACAGCAGGTGGTCACCCTGTGGCTGAATGGAGTTACTGGGTGGTTAACCAGGCCAGGGGGTCTTGTTCCACAAAGTGCTACAGTCCCAGAAAGGGCGACAAGAGCCAGTTTTCCTTCATTCATTTGTCCAGAAAATATCTGAGTGCCAGGCACCGTTCTCGGCCTGGAGACACAGCAGAGAAGACAGCAGATAAAACCCTCACCCCGTGGAGCTGATGTCCTAACAGAGGGGATTCAGATAAAAGATAGTATTGACCGAAGGGGATTCAGAGAAGAGATAACGTTGACATCATTGATAAGTCGGATCACGATAAGGGCTACAGAAATAGGCTACAAATGTCCCACCGCTGAGACAGGCTTGCTGGCCACCTTCCCAGGATTGGAAACCTATAATCTGAGAATATCCCCCGGGGTATAATTTCCATCCTGTGACAGTTTCACACCCAGCCTCAGGGCTGCTGGAAGGGTGAAACCGAGGGGAGGGTACTAGCAGCCCGGCCTCTGGGGGCTTGGCTTTGGTGAAGCGCGTCCACAGGTTTGTGTGGCCCCCTTGAGCGTTCCGCCATCCCAGGGCTGACGTGACATGCTATGAGTGGCAGTGGCCTAACGGGACCCCAAACTGTGGGAGAACATCTCTGGGAGGACCCTGGACTGCAGCCCGGCGATCTTCTCTAATGTTGAGGTCCTCAGTGATGTTTAATGGTGCTCTCTCCTCTTGTCTGTGGTAACGAGACTTCCCTGGCCGGGCAGTGGCAGTCCCTCGTCTGAGCACGGCCTGGGCGAGGACTCCGTCCCCCAGCTGCCCGGGGACTGAGATGACAGTCTCTGAATGGCGTCTTGAGAAATGATTTCGCGGTTGAAGTCAGAGCTGCGCTTTTACTTCAGATCCTGAACCTCCCTTGCCTCCTCCAGCCCCCCACACTCGGCACCCTCCAGCTTGATTACAGTCCTGTCCCTGATTCACTCACTGCAGTGAAGAGAGGACCGATTCCTCAGCTCCTGGGACTGGTAATGTTTTAGTAAAGGGTGTCGGAGAAGCAGAAATGCTGGCGACTGTCCTGGGTGGGGAGAGAGGAACGTTAACCACAACACTAATAGTAATAATAGTGAGATAATAATGGCAGCAGCAGCAAGCCTTGAGCATTTGCTGTCTGCCAGTCTCTGCGCTGAGCGCCTTGCACACTTATCTCATTTCATCCTCCCAACAACCCCATGGGGGGTATGCTTCTCACTGCCAGGTAACAGATGGGGAAACTGAGGTCCAAGCCAGCAGGTCTCATTTCCCCAAATTACTACAGAACTACGGAGGGTGATAGTCCCCATTTGGTCTTCTTTCGTCCGGAAAATATCAGAGTGCCAATTAAGTGCCAGGTACTGTTGTAGGCCCTGGGGACCCAGCACTGAACAGAACACACACAAAAATCCTCCCTTTGAGGAGCTGACATTCTAGTGGGGGTGTTCATGTAGTAAGTGAGCACATAAAATATACAGACTATTTCAGATGGTGGTAAGTGTTATGGAGGACGCAAGCAGGGAAGGGGGACAGGGGCTGCTAGGGTAGGGCGGTGGGTCATAATTTTGAATCGAGCATTCTTTTCTGAGCTCCCCTCCCTGGGAAAAAAGGCTGCAGAGGTCCAAGGCTGAGACAGACCTACCAGCCGCCTTTCCACTATTGGAGAGACCCATAGTTCGAGATCATTGCCCAGGGTAAAATTTCTGACCTAAGACAATTGCCTGGGGATCCTCTTGCCCGAGGCTAATAAATGACAGAGGTCAACTGTTTGACGCCTGCCATTTGGACTCCCAAGGCCGTGTTCCCGACCGCTGTTGGCTAATCCTCTGTGCACACCTCACTAAGAGTGGTGCACCCCTGTGCTTTTCTCTTCTCACAGTCCCAGCCATCAAGACAGAGCCCACTGATGAATATGACCCCACCTTGATCTGCAGCCCCGCCCACGGGGGCCTGGGGAGCCAGCCTTACTACCCACAGCACCCGATGGTGGCCGAGTCGCCCTCCTGCCTCGTGGCCACCATGGCTCCCTGCCAGCAGTTCCGCTCAGGGCTCTCCTCCCCTGACGCCCGCTACCAGCAGCAGAACCCAGCGGCCGTCCTCTACCAGCGGAGCAAGAGCCTGAGCCCCAGCCTGCTGGGCTACCAGCAGCCGGCCCTCATGGCCGCCCCCCTGTCCCTCGCGGACGCCCACCGCTCCGTGCTGGTGCACGCTGGCTCCCAGGGCCAGAGCCCGGCCGTGCTCCACTCCTCTCCGGCCAACCAGCAGGCCTCGCCGGTCATCCACTACTCGCCCACCAGCCAGCAGCTGCGCTGCGGAAGCCACCAGGAGTTCCAGCACATCATGTACTGCGAGAATTTTGGCCCCGGCACCGCCAGGCCCGGCCCGCCCCCCGGCGGCCAAGGTCAGAGGCTGAGCCCCGGGGCCTACCCCACGGTCATTCAGCAGCAGAATGCTACAAGCCAAAGAGCCGCCAAAAACGGACCCCCGGTCACTGACCAAAAGGAAGTATTACCCGCGGGAGTGACCATTAAGCAGGAGCAGAACTTGGACCAGACCTACTTGGATGATGGTAAGAGGCTTGTTTTTCTCCTTGCCCATAAGGACAGTGCCCCCCACCCCCAGCAAGTTCACTGCATGGCCTGGGTGTCCTCTTCACCCCTTTGGGCCTCAGCGTCCCCCTCTTTAATTTAAGGGGGTTGAATAAGATAACCTCGAAGGCCTCCCCCTACTGTGTGCGTGAGTCATTTCCAGCGGGAGTTTGGGGGTGAGCTGTAAGAGTTTTAGTTGCGTCCCTACAGCCATCGCAACAGAGAGAGCAAATGAGGGCGGTTCTGGCCGTGGGAGTGTCCCCTGGCCATGAACTGGGTCAGTTTCACTGCTTCCACGCTCTTTCCATTTGCCAAATTTAGACCAAGGAGAGGAAAACAGAAAGGAAGGAAAGCTAACCTCTTATTCCTGTAGAGAAAAAAAATCCCACTCTATAGCCCTCTTGTGTGCATTTGGGGGAGGGCGTGGAGAGAAGGGAAGGAGAAAGCTCATTGAAAAGTGACTGTAAGAGAACGGAGCATGAATGGGGGCTTGCGGGCAGGCTGCGGGCATAGCTCTGCCATGTGCTCACGGAACAGAGGCGCATTGATGGGAGGGGAACAGTGGGCTTCCGTTGTGGTGAGCCCAGCTGATGGGGTGGCTGGGCCAAGGAGAAGATGCAGAGGAGGCTCCCTGTGCGTCTGTAGGTGCCCGAGTTTATTGGCGGGGCCCCGCTGGAGGGTCGTCTTGTGAGTGGCTATGCATGTGACACTGGTCTGTGATCTCAGGGAGGAAGGGCCAGTGGAGTTGGCAGGACTCACCTGGGATTAGCCAGGTGCGGCTGAAGGACAGAGAGGGCGGGGCAGGCAGAGCAGCCGTCCCCTGGGGGCCCCAGGAAAAGAATACAGGCGGTTTGAGTTTCTTACGGGAGAAGGGAAACCTACACCGTTGGCTGCCATCCACAGCTCCAGACCCCCGTTTTACAGCCAGTAGCATCTGATGTACCCTGAAACCTCAATTATTTAGGAAAATTTACTCTCAGGAACCCAGCCAGGGAGGAGGAAGTAAGGCACAAAGCTTTAAAATGGCCACAACAGTTACCATAAAGACCAGGTACTAAATATCAGACACTTGAGTGGCGGGAATCCCTGGGTGCTTACTCAGGGACTAGTGACTTTTACTTTATGCAAAGTTATGATCATCTGGGTTATCTGGGGGCTCTGTGACTTCCAGTAGTTTCCACGTCCTCTGTCTAGTAAAACCGCTGATCAAAAACTTCCCCCAAATGCATCCAGCGAGGATCTCTAGGGCCACGTGGTGTAGGGTCACGCCGCCCCACAGCCTTACAAGGCCGACCTCCAGGATCGCTGCATTAATAATGGATCTGTCTAATCCTGAATAATCAAACACAGGTTGCGTTAGGGTCACCGTGCTAGGTTGTAAAAGGTAAGACCCACGTGCAATCTATTCTTGAACAATTTACACCCCAAATGGTTAAGATGAAGTTTTGGTGCGTATTTGAAAGGGGGTTATCACGTGGGAAATTCAGCTAACGCAGAGAGCCTAGTGCGAGCAGATAAATGCAACATGGCTGTAACCAGAGCCCTCTCCACGTGCACGCTTGGGATGTGTCGGGGCTGAGGCACTTCATAAATAAATGATGCCGGCACGGGCAGGTACCTTTCCCCAGCTGACTCTGTGTCTGGTGTAGGTTTAGTGTCCAGAGTGAGAAATGAGCCAGCCCCTCCCGCCCTGCCTGTCAGGAGTTAGTGTGTGCCCTGGCTCCCCGTCAGTATCCAAGTGGTCGTGAGGAACCTTCCAGTGTCTGAGTGTCGTTTGTAGCCCCAGAGCCTTTCCTGTTTTCACAGAGGCCTACTGTTATGGAGAAAGCAACCGAGAGTGGAGACTCTTCTGGCCTCCTACGTATCTTTCTGAGCAAGGCAGGTTCAGAGTCTTGGTGAGGGTGAGCTCCCCGCAGGTCCATAACATGAGCCAGCTGAGGAGGTCTCGGAGAGCTGAGTGCAGTGAAATTTCTTCTCCTGATGGAGCCTTCCTTCAGTACGCTCTGCACAAGCCCAGTTCCAGGGGATTTTAGGAGGTATTCTCTGAAATGAGGGTTCCATGGCTTAAAAAGGTGAAAAAACTTATTAAAACCAAGTTTTTAAAAAACTTGTTTACTGCGGGACTTTTCAGAGCCTTTATGTGCTAGTGGACATTATCAATCTCTAGAATGAGGGATGTAGCACTTCCCAAAATTACTCCATCACAGACAGGAGAGTGACAACTCCCAGCGGTGCTGTTCCCGTTATATTTTATTGTGCTCTCTGTGAGGGGAGCCCCTGCAGCATGGCAGGCCTGGAACCCCGTCCCCCAATATCTGGGAGAAATAATATGAAGGAATCTCAGAGTTCAGAAGCCCAGCACTACCCCATCCCAGATGCCATGTTCAGGCTTCTCCATTCTTGGGCTTCACGTTCCTGGGGCCAGATCATGACAGGGCAGTAGAATACTTTCTACCCACGTGGCCCCCAAAAGGCAGCAGTGTGGCTGCTGGTTAGATGTCCCGTGCTTTGCCAGCGTTGTCCCCGAAGTTCTGCCCAACCCGAGACCCTCCGATGGGGAGATGCCCGAGTAGCCTGTTGTGCCCAGTTGTCAGCCCCAGACTGCACCACCGCTGCAGCCACAGGAAGAGAGGGGTGAGGTTTTGTCCCCTAATTGCCGGGAGTTCAGATTCCTCCCGTGGAACATTTTCAGATTCCACTGTTGGCTTTACAGGTGTGGGATTCAGACTTCTCAGCTTGTTGTTTTGTGTGTATTTCTGACAGGTAAACTGGAAATCCCTGGGTGTCATGTCTCTGGTCTGGTTGGGAGACACCCTAGCTTTGTAAGGTCCTTTTCTCTCTTTCGATGAGTACTCAGAGGGGGTCTCCCCCGCAGACTACATATCTGGTTGCACAACCTCCAGCAGAACGTGCTTCCAGTGTGTGGTGCTTCTCGTGTGCCGGTCACTGGCCTGGGGATTTTGGCAAAGTGGACATTCCTTGGAAACTTTGTGAGAGCTGGGCTTAAGTGTTTCGAGGGTCAAGGGAAGGTTCCGCAGCTGCGAAAGGAAGGGGCCACCAGCGGACTCAGGTCCACATGCAGACGAATCATCTTTGAAGTTGGCCCCGCCGCTGGACTGCCCCCGGGAGCCCCCGTGTTCGGTTTTCCTTCCCTGACCCTTAGCTGACGACCCGGAGCGTCTTGTCTGGGCGTCCCACCTGGCTGCGTCGTGTGACTGCTGCTTTACATCTCTCCTGTTCCCAAACTGCATTCCTGCACACAGACACTGTCTGTCTTGGCCCCATTTTTCTCTTGGAACTCCAAAATGCAGCTTCTACTTTCCCCACTCCAAGGACTGGAGACACTTTCAAAAAATCTCTTTTCGAACTAGCAAAATAAGTGATATTCCAGGACAAAAATGCATCCTCACTGCTCTCCTTGTGTTCCTCCACCCCCCAACCCTCCAGCTCAGGCACTTTTTCACAGCTCTCCTGAAATGTGTGCTCTGCGCACACTCTCATGCATTTTATCTCTGCTCCCTTGTCGCCTTCTGGAACTAGTTTCTTATTCTAAAGCCCCAGGTTGTACCTGGGAAGCGCCAGCAGCCCCCAGCAGTAGCCGGATCCTGTGAATGAACTCTTCCCTCCCTGCCTTCCTGCCTCCCCCTCCATCCTGACCCTCCCTTCCTCCCTCCCTCCCTCCCCAGCCCTCCCCCCGCCGCACAGGTGTGTACTGGTTGCCTCCTCTGCGCCAGGCACTGTCCTGTCCTGGGCCTCAGGGATATACTGGTGAACAGTCCAAGTCCTTGCTCTCGTGGGCAAGGGAGATAGACAGCAGCGTGTAAGGGAATAATATGCATATTTCAGATGGCGATGAAAAGCCACAAGGGAAATTACACAACGTTAAGAGCTAGAGTGTGGCTGGATGGGGTGGTCTTGGCCCCCTCAGACCAAGTGCATAGAAAGGCCACTCTGAGGAGGTGGGCTTCGGGAAGATCTGGGGGAAGGGTGTTCCAGGGAGAGGGAACAGCAGATAGCAGAGGCTAGGAGGTCAGAGGAGTGGGCTAGCCTTGGCAGGTTTTTGGCAGCAGTGCGATTTGGTTTACCTGTTGAAAAAGATCACTCTGGCTGTGTTGGGAAGATGGACTGTAGGGAGGCAAGAGTTGGAGACAAGGAGTTTACTTCGTTTCAGACAAAGCTGGAGATGGAGAACGTGAATCCCACCCAGGAACCTTACAGAGGGAGGAGTGGCGCATCTGACCAAGGGCTGCCTTATGCGCACCGTCATTAGTGCAATTCTTTAAAATGTAACTGGAATTGTCAAGATGTGATTCGTTCACAATAGTTCTTACCACTTCCGTTGCCTAGAATGAAGGGCGTCGGCCCCCTCACTGCCCAGGGCACCTGGATTGAGCAGGTGGGGCGTGTTTGTGCTGCGCAGGCCCGGGCGACGGGAGAGATTCAGAGGGGACTCTTGCCAGGGGCTCTTGTGACACCGTCTCCACAGAACTGGGGTTCTCAGGTCATCATGCAGCTCCGCAGGCTCTGGGGCAGCGAATCTACACCGGTTGCCTCGAGATTCAGCCACAGACCAGAGGACTGAGGGACGGGATGAGGCCTGGGACTCAAAGGAGATCCTCAGTGCCCATCTGGAATTGTCTTGGGGACAAAGGATGTGGTCTCAGTGATTGCCAGAGCCTCTGCCAGCGGCTCGTAAGGACGGCTGATGGGGGTGTGTGTGTGCTTGTACACGTAGGAAGAGCACACACCAGTCTACTCATGTTTGAATCTGCTTCTCTATTCTCGTGAACTACTTAAAATCAATTTATTGAAATACATTAAATAAATTTGAATATTTCTTTAAGTATATTTAAATATTGAAATACATGCACATTCAGAAGTCAATAGTTGCTCTGAATTTCACCAGGTGGGCCACCCGTGTCATTACCACCTGGCCATGCATGCATGACATAGAATCTTGTTGGCACCCCAGCAGCCCCCA